TGCTGGATCCTATTGCGAAGGGGGGGAAAAAACGTCAGCAAGTGCTAGAGGGTGGGCAGGCGCGTCACGTCGCACTCTGACCCCGGATGGTGCTTGATTCTCAAATCCATGACAACCAAGTGCATCCGTTGCACTGGGTTCGACTTCACTCCTGTTCCCCGCAAACATCGCACCGATCCTAATGACTTTCCGTCAATTTTAATCTCCGGCGAGGTCTTGGAGTCAGATTCCTGGAATGGCCCTTCGCCCCCCCGGCCTGTAAGCTCATGTCCTGCATCCTTACGGCGTTATTTTTTCCGTCTCACTCACTTGCGGGCTGCACTGCTAACAGCGTGCTTCCGCCTGGCCTCGCTAAACACGCATGTGACATGGTTACCCACCTTTAGGATCAACGCGCCAATCAGCTTTTCAGGATCACGTGCACTAACCTTGTGCCATTAAAAGGTGACGGTGACAGGGGTGGCTTTACGTCGTCCTGGCGTTCACGAGGCTTGGCAGGACGAGCTGCGCAGTGCCTCAGAGACACGCAGATCCCTCAATTTCTTATCGATGACTTTTAATTTCAATCGGAAATAATCCGTTGATTGTGAATCGACGCATCTTGACGAGGGTGAGAAAAACACAAATAAAACCAGGACTGCAAGGCGTGAAATGGGAAGTTTGTTTTTGAATGTGGCCTCGTAGAATTTATTTTAGTGCTATTCTCTTCTGCTTTTTTGTGTAGTTGTTAAAAATAGCCTGTACAGTGGACCCCAATATACGACTCTTCTGTCTAAACAAAGCAGTGGTAAACCAACTCAGAAGAACGAGGGGAAGAAAGAAAGAAGAAAAAGCAGGGGGAAGGCTGTCAAATACTGCATGGCCATGAAAAATCCCCCCGCCCCCTTCAAAAGACAGCTTGTCAAAAATTTCACAGACAGAGAGAGCCCCCTTTGTTATTCGGGGGGGGGCTTCAGTGCTTGGCCTTGCTGTTTCACGTGGTAACGGCTAGCTGTATCCTGGCCAGTTTGCC